TATTTCTATGTATTTCTATGTATTTCTATACATATCTATGAAGATATGTATGAAGAACTGTTCATCTGTCCTCATATCACAGTAATCTAAAAAGCTCACATAATTTTTATAAAAAGAATAATCTGTTTTTCAGCAGCAACAGACCAGAAAATAATTATGTAAAAATTAATTCAACGCATTTTGAAATATCTGACTTGCAGAGGGGTGTGATACTTAAAAACGGAATACRATTTATAAACAGATTAAAACATAGCATGTCATCAAAAACCATGATCCTAGCAGCTTACAGCATAGCATGGAGAGTAAGTACAGGAAAAGGATCGTCTATGTAGCTGTATTTTTTTTTAAATCCTGTTTGTGACAGATGTTAGCAAAGTAGTTGTTAGAGCAGCTACAGTGTGTAGCAGATAAACACKTATAACTATGTTTGACATAAATCACAGTCTGAAGAATGTGTGCAAATTCAATTGGGGGGGGCGAGGGGGAGAAGTCCAGTCAAAGAGACATTCTGAGCCACACAAATCCAGTGCCAGATGTGATGCTCGCGATTGGCTGAGAGCTGACCATGTGTTTGAGCCGTGCGGATATGGAAACCCCTCCCAGAGCCAGATCTGCATTGCAGTCAAGGGAAGAACAAGATTTATTTCCCGTRCTCTGCTCTCTTGCTCACATACGTGCATGAGCAGGAAATCCACCTGCAGTTTTCTCGCCGTAGTAAAATGTACCAAATAATACTTCATTTTAGTTAGTTGTACAATTACCTCTAATTAGCATTTTGAAAATCTTAGTGATAAAAAACACTAAGCATAATTATATGTTATTTTTCACAATTTTGACTTCACGAAAAGGAGACATTACCTGCTACAGCCATGTTTCTCCTTTCTTCTAGATCTCAAGGTGTTTTCCTGTGTAGACAAGTGGATCACAATTAAAAATTATTCTATAAATCTTGCCATTCTTTCCCACCTTTTCCCCAGCTGTAATGATTTTATTACACAAATTTTAGAACAGCTGACTCCTTGTGCACTGTCATCTCAAATATAAAATATTAAACTCCATTTTACCTAGAGTTTTCAACTGTAAATCACATTCTTTTTTCTCCTAGCAATAGATAAGCTCCCTTCTATTTGATCTACATTTAAAGAAAATGTATGTTTGATAAAGAAAAAAAAATATAAAATCTAGCATAAACAAAGAATGTTGCTTTTAAGAAAGCCCTAAATTTACCCTAGAACCTTTGGTAAATCAAATAGCCCAGAATGTTAGGCATGTGATTCTTTATTTCAAGTAAGCTCCTTAAATATGATGGTTAGCATTTCAACGTGACACCTTACACTTTGTCTAGGGCATAATTTTGCTAGTAACAAAATTCCCCCTATCCTAAGACCTAGACAGTAAATGTGAAATTCTTGGGCACAAGTTACAGAGCCAGCTATGCTACAATGGCATCTCAGCAAGCTATTTTTCCCCTGCTGCTAGAGGTTTCATTGTTTGGTCAGTCCTAATATCATCACTAATGCACACTTCTTTCTTTAATTTTTGTCAGAAGGGTTCAAGAAAATAAAATTTTGTAACAAAAATTCAGATATGGCATAGACATAGCAGGTTATGGAATAAAATAGAATCTAATAGCTTGAGAGTTAATTAACATACAAAGAGGAGCAGAACATAAAAGGAAAAGTGTTTATAGCAATCCAAAATGTAGGATTATTTTTGTATTCCATATCTAGTATGAATATAAAATATTGTAAAGAATAAACATTTTAAATAGAGATGCAATTTGTAGAAAGAGATAATCCTGTGACCCTGGAAACCAAAATATACAAAGGAAAGCCGTTTAAAAGTATTTTAAAATGAGCCTAGCTGCTACAAATCGTTTGATCTCTCTCATTTCCTGCATCACATATCTAAGATATAGCTCCTGTGGAACAGAAGTCATGGAAAATTAATCCAAAGTTTCTGACAGATGGAATGAAATGGACAGTCACAAGAGTTTGGTGCTATTTCCAAAATATTTGCTGGAGATTACTGAACTGCTACCAGGCTGGTAGGTAAGTATGTATTTTTTTATTTCAAATTAGCTCATAAACTAGTATTACTTCAAGCACACCTTTATCAATTATTAAAATTAATACAGGAGAGTGCAAATTGAAGCAGCTGCTGTGTCTGCATGCATTCTGTAACCTCCATGGAAAAAGCAGACAGAAAGCTTTCTCAAACCACTGCAACTCCTGCAGAGACTGCCACAATTCTGGGGCACAAGACACTTGATTGGCACACTCTGTAGCGGGAAGGATCTTTAGAATTTGTTGTTTCTGGAGTGTGTATGTGTACAAATATACATATACAAATGTATATGTATATCTATGAAGAGTTACAACAATTACTGAAATAAAGCAAATGCCGTGGCATAATCATATGAAAAATAATCAGTGTATTGGCTCTATGTATTTTTCAATTAATTAAGTAAAAGGTTTTCATGCACACAAGAATTGCCAAAATGCTACCAGACTTGAGTATATTATCCTGTCTTTGTTCAGCAAAGCTCAGCAATTTAAATCAAATTCAGAGATGAAAACAATTGTTTCCAAATGAAGATGGCAGAACCTGCAGTTGATTGCACAATAGCCGAGTGACTCCAATAACAATTGCCTGTGTTTAAATATACCATATTTCTACAACACAGAAAAAATAATTGAATGTTTAACAATCTTTTGGCCTGAAACTTGTGAATGTTTTGCTATATAGTACTCTGGCCTTCTTCTCAAAATTGCAGTCTGCATCCTTTTCACAGTATGAAACTTARAATACGTTCAAATCAACTCCATGTGCAAAACGATGACATTGTTAATATTTAATTAATAATGAGTCCATTTGTTTGTGCAGTCTCAGAGTTTTATAGTAAGTATCTTTAGTTCGGTGAATTGGCTCCATTAACATTGCTATTCTAGAGACCAGAGTTCAAGATCAATTTTGTATTTGCATCTCAAGCTCGGTGTAATACTAAAAAGTACATTGTACAGTTTTACCAACAGTATTTACCTATCCTAAGATTTGCTTCACGAACAAATGCTGGATAAGAATCAAACAATAAGAACCTCCAATAAACCCACAACAACAAAAAAAAAAGGACAACGACCTGAATATATAAATGCTAAGAGCCTTCCCTGCTGCTTTTTTGTTTGTTTTTTGTTGTTTTTTTTAACATGCACTAATGTTTCCTTGGCTTTCAAAGAGAAGAGTACATGTCTGCAAACATTGCTAATGAAAAGAAAAGCATGTTCGCCATTTGCATAGATGACCAATACTGCATCTGCTACATAACGTGAAAGTTCATCTCACTATGGAACTACATGAGCTAGGACAGATTGTTTTAAATACTGCATTTTCACCTAAGGRAATTGGTGACCTAAAATGGGGAACAATATTTTACCAGATAACCTGAAAACACTTCACTAGCAGAAAACTGCCTGAAATCAGAATTATAATTTTGTCTAAGCCCTCAAACTTGCAATTTTTATTTGCAGCTGTGAATCTTTGTAAAAAGTGCATCTTCCTCATTTACTGGTTTGTCTTCTATCTCAGTGCAGTAAGCTCTGTATCATAAGATTATTACATTCTGTATAGTTGATTACACGTAGGGGAGGGCGATCATGGACTGAAACTGTAGAATTAAAATGTGATCTGCCTATGGCTGTGCAACCAAATGAAACTGCAAGACAATCAGCCTCCGTGAGTAACAGTTAGATGTGAAATGAATGACAATCAAACTAATAAAGGAACTCTTCAAATCTGGCAAGGCAGCTCCGGTGAAAACTACAAAAACCTTYGAAACCAAGAGACGTATTTAGCCAGTACCATGCGCTGTCTCTTGGTACTGTCACCCTGAAAGTAACAGGCAAGAGAATGAACAACATACCTGAAGAATTTTATTTCAAACAAAAACTTAAATTGTGTGGTTTACTTTGTTGAGTAAAGGAAGATGAGAAATTGTTGGTTTTGGCCTCAGTGCAAAGAATATCTGGAGATGTTTTCACTGAGTTTTACTTTTTATGTAGACAACTACCTTCTCAAAGACACAGGAATGCTCTAAAAACAKATTTCAACCCATCTATAGGATAGCAGTGAGAGCATTTCTAGACCTAGTGAGAATTTCTCTATGCATTAGGAAAATTGTTTAGTTAATCAAAGCAGGTTTGGAAACTTTTGCATAAATGATTTTAATATAAACAGCTAATACTAAACTTCCATTCTATAACATTCAGTRAAACTTCATCAACTGTTTTACTCCTTTACATAGCATAAAGATATTTTTATCCCTTTATTTAAAGGGRTAAGTTCCAACTCCTCTTGTTAAAGTTAGGTCATCATACTAAAATAGGTACTGGTACTAAAGAGAGRATAACCAAGGCTGAAGAAATCTTCACTTTAATAATARATTTTTATAACGCTGCTTTTCCTGATGCTATATTTCAGGAAACGAACAATTGGTAATGCATGTGCTTAACTGTGCTGTATTCGATACTGAATTCTTGCAGAATGCCCTTTTTCCTGAAYTCTGGACGCTAGTTTCTGATGAGAAGCGCCATTAAAAGCTATRGACAATGTCTCTGCATGGGAAAGTTTGTGAAACTGACTTCTTGGACTTGTTTTGGTATTCATCCGGAAACAGACTAAATTATGCCCGTTTTATAGGGTGAGCACTCAGAGCTCTGTTCAGCTGCCCCATTACAGCATCTCCAGCATAAAAATAATATGTGGAGAAAAATACCTTCCCTTAGAAGGTGCTGGAGGCCTCGGACACACCCTGATACTCCTGCAGAAGTGCCCCGTAAACAAGGCTTCCTCCTATTCTTCTTCCTATCAGGTACCTAACGCCGCCTGCCTGTCCCTGCGCGGGTGGAGCCCCGCACACAGCGCTCCCTCACAGGGCCCCCGGCTCTCGGCCGCGGCCCGGGCGGTGGAGGCGGGGCGGGGGCGGCCCCAGTGCGGGGAGGCGGTGCCGCCCCTCGTGCCCGTCGCGGCTGCGCCGGCGCCGCCACCCCCACAGCGGGCGGCGGTTCGTGCGCGGGGCCGACGGCCGGCGTGGGACTGACGCGGGCGGGAAGGTGCTGTCGCTGAACGCCGGCACGGTGATCTCCTCTCTTTCCTCGGCTCCCCTACCCCTCTCTGCACCTTCCCTCTCCCCAGCTTCCCTCGCTCCCCACCTTTTCTGCCCTTCCCGCGGGGAAGGCGCCGCGCGGACGGTGGGGGGGGAGGAGAGGGGGATGAGAGGGGGATGGGCGGCGGGCCCTGAGAAGAAAAGCGGTAACGGCCGCAGCGCGCGCCGCCCCGAGCCCGCCTTGCCGCCACGTGACCCCCTGGCGCCCGCCCCCTCCTCTGCCGCCCGGCTCCATATTGGCTCTGCGCTGGCCGAGCCCGGGCACAAAATGGAGGTAACTGCGCGCGGGGCGCGGGGCTCGCCGCCATCGGCCGAGGCGGGGGTGCAAGGCGAGGCGGCTCCTCCCGCACCGGCGGGGCTGGAGTGGCTCGAGTTCTGCTCGAGCCTGCGGGCGGGAAAGCGCTGCGGAAAGGAGGCGGGAGGAAATTGGCGGCAACACGTCTTGGAGCCCCTTGCGGTGCCAGCGGCCGCCGTCTCCTTGTAGCTTTCCTGCCGCGCTCCAGACCCGCTTTGGCCTGCGCCACGCCGCGTTATTCCGCAATGGCGCGGGCAGGAAGAGGGAGGGAGCGGGAGAGTTGGCGCTTCCGCCGCACGGCCCCGGGGGCTGTGGCCGCCATTTCGCAGCGCCTCGGCGCCTGGGTGAGAGGGGCCCGGCCCGACGCGGGGCTGGGATTAGCAGAGCTCTYCGCAGCAATCCTGGGAACACCGAAACACTTGGGCGCGTATTCGGGCAGGAGTAGGGCAAAGGAAGCACTACACGTGCTTGTGTCATTGTTCTGGCCTCCCCTTGTTCTTTTCCCCCTCCCCTCCAACGTAAACTATCCGGAATAGTGCGGCGGGGATATTGTTTACGCACTTTCTGTAGAAAAACAGCTTTCTCGAAACAAACTTCGAAAGCCTTAAAATAGTTTAGTGCAGTATGGTGTCTGTCGCAGAGGAATGCTGGTACAGGTTTGCAACGCCTGCCTAATATCTCTTCTCMCCTGCCCAGAGGGAATTAAAACGTGTCGGGAGTCTTTGCTGCCCAGGGAGCTGGGGGATAGAATTCCAGTCTTTTTCCCCACTCCCCTTACCACACGTGCAAAAGATCCACGACATTCGGTGGCACGCTACCATGATCCTGGTGGGCAGCACGAAGAAGCAGTCCTGCACAAATCTAGAGCAATCATCCCCGCCTTACCTGGAGGGAAATAGTCATTATACTCTCCCTTTGCTTTTCTTTTCTCAAAACTTGAGATTTTTTTTTTCTCAAGTGTTTCAGTGCATGGCAAGGAAAAGCAGTGCAGGTTTTTTGCGTGGTGTTTTTTATATTTACTTGCTTCACTGAAAGATGAAACCTTGAAAAGTTAAGGTCAGAGAAACCGACAGGTGATACTCGTTTGTGTTCCTACTTCAAAAACAGAATAAACTGGATCCCTTACCAGAGCAGCTAAAAATAACTTTTTCATGTAGGCAATTGTTTCAKCTGCTTCAGAGTTTAGTAACTGGGAGGGATGATATGTTCAAAGCATTTGAACATGCTTCAGTAAAGCTTGGAAACCTATCACATAGATACTAAGCTTTTATCTTGGGGTTTTTCCAGGCACACGTTTCTATTGGTGTTMAGAGTACACTATTAACACACTTAAAGCGAGAATCAGTTGTGTTCCTGCTTTAAAGTTTTGGGTTGATAAAACACCCTACCCTATGCACTTTAGGTCTAACTTCAGCTGTTTACAGAAAAGACCAGAACATTTCCTTAATATTCTCTGATTGGGTGGGTGAACTTCCATCTTGGTGATGTCTGGTTTGCCTGTTAGGTTCTTGTTTCCYGTAAGGGATAAGGCAGCATTGTAAGTTTCTTTGAGTAGTGAGACGTGGTCTGGTGACTTTCCTCATTATAACTAAAAAATTTGCTTTTGAAGACTGCTTTAAGTTCTGTGGTTAAGTTGCAGTATAGTTGCTCAGGGCTAGTTTAACTCGCATCTCTTAGTAAAAGCGTTCTGAATATTTCTATGTAGGGTTAAATAGAGTATTTTATTGGTGATGAGAATTAAAAAAACCTAGTACTGTCAGCCTTAACTGTTGTTAAGGCAGGAATAGGACTGAGCGTGGCTGTGTTCACCTCAGCTAATGGTGTGCATTAGCGAGAAGACAACTCACTTTTTAACCCTCAAGGCCTTCAGAGGCCATTGGAGCAAAGACCATGCCCCGGAGCTTTCTGTTGGCAAGCCTGGAGCCTCGCTGGGGAAAGCAGCAGGTGCCACCATCACAAAGGGATTGCATACTTTCCATTATTTCTAAGAAAGTATTTAAATGAACTTATCTCTTTCCTCCCTAACAATTCCTAAAGTTTTATTTATACAGGTAGTTTGTAGAAAGCCCTTGAAGTGTTCATGTTCTGTTCCATACCTCCCTTCTATGACTTAAGAAACTGAAAGGCTCAGTTGAAGCACTTAATATCCTCTTAAGTCAAGCTGATGTTTGGTTTTAAAGGATTTCAGGTGTGGGTTTAACATTGTGTAGAGAAGAGCTGAGGATGATACACTTGGAGGTTAATGAAACTGWTAACAATTTTAATGCATTGAATCATGATACTCATGATTTCACAGTTGAGTCTAATTTGAAGCTGTATTTTAGCATGAAGTTACATTAAGAATTTCTGCTTTGAATAACAGCTCATATTGAACAAACAAAACCTCCACAGGAGTGCACCTGATCTGCTGAATATCTATTCTTTTTAATGCAGCACGAGTATAGTTTTGCTGAAGTACGTTATGTAGTTAACAGTATTGCATTTTGGCTACTGTACTACAAAGTGGTAATGAATATTGGCCAAAGATGCTAATATATTAATACTGAGACAGGTAATTGAATGATCCTAGAAAATTATATCAAAAATAGGCCAAAGGGAATATGATTTTTTTGTTAGAATGTGTAGGTATGGGTTCATCCACTGAGCTTACATTGTAAAAGACTTCCTATTTGTAATGATACGAGCATTACATAATACAGGGTAGTAATCAAATATGTAATATTGAAGCAAAAGTAATGTAGACGGGGGACTAGTGTCCCCTACAGACTGCTGAGGATTAGCTCTTGGAAGTTTTGATGTTGCACAGTAGCATCAGTAAAGGGTTCTTGCACTACTCTTAGTGGAAAATGTTTTTAAAGGAGAACTATACAAGASATCCTCTAGTGTTCCACACTGCTAGGTCTCTGATTTCAAGACATTACGCATCAAAYAGTTCAGTAAGAAAATTACTATATTTGCAAAATGTTACATGTTTTGGGGTTTAAAATCCAGAGAAGCAGATTTTRATGTAGTGGGTGTGGGTATGGAAGGCAGAATTTGCTTGCTGTGGATCAGTTGTATTCACAATAGGTCTGTAAGATGGTAATAAGGGTTTGTTGCAGATTTTAGCATTAGTTTGTACCTAGTTATTCCAGCAGTTGTGGCTTTATTRGGATGGCAGATACTCCTTTCACAGCTCTTTTTGATCAGCCAAATAGGCTGAGGATTTTTACCCTTTTAAATACATTGGGGTCTTTTTTTCTACTTTCACCCATTTCTTCCTGTAAAGCCACACCCTGCAGCCAGAGAAGGCCATGTTTCACAGGAATTGGGTTAAGTACTAACTTATCCAACCTGTTTTCTAGGTTTCCTAGATCTAAAAGAAAGGCTGAGTTAGAGTACCCTTCCAAAATGGCTGCTATTAAAGAAGAGAGAGAAGGAGAAGACTATAAGAGGAAAGGAAGACGATCCTCACAGGTGAGAGGATGGGTTTTTTATTAAAAATAAAGTAGTTTTAAGGGGGAAAGGTGGAGGAAAACCCAAGTTAACCATTTCTATCTGATATATTAATATCTTTTTTTTTTTCTACCTTCTTCATCCCGTATTAGCAGAGTAACTTTAAACTGCAGTTTGTTACTTACAATTTTARGGGGTGGGCTGTTAAGCATAATGGGGAAATTTTGCTTTTTTAGTTTTCTGTTATAACAAAACTGATTAAATATGTTTCTGGTTAAAGCACGTTGTAATTATTAAGAAATTCATGCATCCTCAGAGTGTCAGCAGGAACTTGATTACTTCTTACCTTCAAAGTCCTGTTTTTAGTGGGAATGAAGACAGGTTCCTATTTTCTTTTTTTTTTTTTTTTTTTTTTTTCTAAGAAAAAAATGGTTGCCTGATAGTCACTGCAAATGAAAGCGAGCTGTACTAAGTAAAAATAACTGTTTTCTTTTGCTTCTAGCAGAAATACCGTAGACTGAATAAGGTGCGTAGTATAGAGAAGATGTTGGGGCTGTTTCTGGGAGGATGGGAGCTAGAGTTACTTTGGGGCAGGGTGTGGAAGTGGGAGGGGGGAAGTTCTCAATACCCTTCAGAAAATAATCTTAACATCAGCAAAAAGGGTATTAAATATGCTTATATAGYTTTATAACTGAGGTATTTTCTCTGTGTTTATTTGGACTTGTTTGCTTTCTGACATTACTTTTTCAGGTTGTAAGGTAGTTCAGCTTTTTTCTGGAATGATACTGTAATGTGGGAGGCCTATGCACTTGAATTACGAACAAACATTGTCCGAGTTGCATGTGTCTGGTAGTGTATGGTTATTTTGTATTGAAATACAGTGTGTAAAGTCCTCTGGAAGGAATGTTGAAACTCACACTCTTTCGRATTTTGGATTGAGTGTAGCTGGAGTTGCTCAGCTGCATACTAAGTATACACTTGTAATTCACAAATTTCCTGCAGTGATCTTGGAAACTGTTGAGTTTCTAGTGAACACGTTTCTCAGAGAAAGTTGCTGAGGCCCCAGTTGCCTGTAAGCCTTCCCATTTCAGAAGGCAATCGAGGATTGTATTGCCTGGGGGACGGGTGGTCCGAGAGTTAGCCACAGCGGAGTTGTAGGTGTGGTGCTGGACATTTTGTGGGCACTTGATGCTGCTCAGTGGAATGCATGGGAGGAGCCCCACCCCAAAACTATGCCCTTATAGAGAAATACTGCAACTCCAAATGGCTGATTATTCCTAAGCCCTGCTATAGGAAGTTTCAGTTGATGGCAACCTCAGGAGAGAGGCAATATGTATCTGCAGCAGTGTTGTCAAAAGGTGTCAGGATACCTGCCAAGATGAGGATTTTTGCACGAATCCCAGTGGCTCTAGCTGCCATCTTCTCTTTTCCCTCTTAGGCGAGGGGTGTAGCTACCCGTCGCCGAGTGTCTGGGGGTTTCGGCAGGGCTTGTGAGGCAGTGTTTTGAGTTTTGCTGGCCCGAGGCGGTGAGCAGAGCCCGCAGCTGCTGCAGCGCCGGCCTCTCCCTGGGCTCCTGCGGGCCGGGCCCCGCCCATGGCGCCACTGCGGCGCCCCGCCCTCTGCCCCGTAATGGCGGCCGTGCCTCAGCACAAAATGGAGGCAGCCGGGGCTGCGCCTCGCYGGGCTAGTAGTGGGGAAGGCCGTAGTCGGGGCAGAAGGAAAGTTCTCCGTTTCCGCAGAGCATTTTCGTGTGTCTGGAAGCCTCTCTGGCAGCTTAGGGGCAGAAACAGTGTCTTGTTGACGAGAAGGCAGGCTGGGCGTTGTTGCAGCTGCTCTGACACCCCTTCTCCCCCGCGCCCAAAGCAGCGCTGYGAAATGGCATGGTGGCCTACTGTGTCAGCTGAGCCTGATGGAGCTGTGGGGTAGTTACACTAAGAGAGAGATGTGTTGCAAAGGATTTTCTGACCAGGAGAGACAGTTGTTAAAAATAATTTGCAGAGCAACTGAAAAACAGCATCTTGTGTGGATGGACAGGAGTCCAGGACAGGACTTTGAAAGCTCCAGTGGGAACAAACTGCATAAAAAMAGCCCAGTTCCCTAATTAAACGTTGCCTCTCCAACAGAGCAGAGAAGCTGTAACAGCAGGTTACAGTAGAATACCAGGTGTTTTTCTTCCTGTGTGAGAGCAGCAGTTCATGTGCACATAATAACAATAAATACAAAAAAACTTACCTTTTCCTTTCAGGAGTGACCTGAAAAGTTCTGTGGTCATTCTTCTGAGGTAAAAGCACTCTGAGTTGTTAGCTGAAAATCCACATAGCCCTTAGGGATATCAGAGAACTGTAAAAAGTTGGTTTCATTTTTCCTTATACAGGTTTCTGATTTTGAAGGAGTCTAAACTCTACAATTTCAYAAAATAAATTTCTTTCAATAGGTGTAGAGGAGTCTGGAACACTTAGTGTTTCTAGCTTTAACATAATCCAACTAAAAATTGTCAGTAGATTTTTTTTTWAAATGCAGTTAGTAACATTAAACAACACTTGACCTAAAGCAGTTTCTTTATGCAGTAGGTGTGTCATCCTATACAATTAAAAGCTTACATGTAATGAGAATGTTGATGGGGTTTTTTTTAATACTTGTGTAATCCGGATCACTTCAAAAACACTAGAAGCTTTTCTTTGTAGTAGTGGGACCATTGACTGTCARTGATTTATATAATGATCCTGTGGTAACAAAACCTTAAATAGAAAGCTGTTACAGAGGATGCTGGAGTTCTTTCTTAAAAAATTTAGCACGTGTAAGGACAGGGCTTTATTTCCCMGACAGCTTTTTGTAATCTGAATTATTAATTCCTGTAGTACAACCTGAACATTTTAAAATAATGGTTTGCTAAASCACTGTGTAATTCAGAAAATCTCACCCAAAGGGGCTTAAGCTTTATTAGCCAGCCCTAGCATCATGGCAGTGGTTAAAGCACTTCAATTTGAAGGAAAATGTCTGCAGATACAAGTGAGTGGCTGGTTTTGTGTAGTTCATGTCTCAGGATAATGCTGCATCTAGTCTTGCTTAAKGCACTGTAGCAGAAACACTGAAGCCTGTTGCACATTCATGCTGCAGAACTGAAGTTGTACACAGCATAGCTGGCCAGGACCTTGTGGAGTGCTTCACATGCACAAAAGTACCCACTTGCTAAACAAGATTTTAATCTGGTTGCTTTCTGTAAAACTTCTCTGACAATAGGAGCTGTAAAACAATTTTTTAAAAACTCTTGTCAAATGTATGGAGAAATTCCCTGCCTACTAAAAAAGGGCAGCACTGAAAAAGCAGAAACACTATTGTATTCKTAGGCCCATTTCAGTTGTGTGGTAGAAAACTGGGCTCTGCAAATTCGCGCCTTTTAAAATGTGACTGGTCGTATATAGGCACTGTCACCAAGAGCTGTAAAATTGGTTTGTGCTGTGGTGCTTGCTAAGTTACCAGTCTTATTCCTGTGGTTGTACCCACTACTGGTCATTGTTGAGTTGTTACTTACGGCATTTTTTTTGTAACTCATAAGGCCATGTTGCTTCACATTTGAGAGGTATTTCCCATAACACTAAAAACCACGGATGTACTTGTTCTTTCTTGCTTACATGTACTCCAGTAATAAATTACCCAAGTACAGAATTTATAGTTTTAAGGAATTTAGAATTACTACATTTGTTAAAAATGTGTAAAAGTAACCTTTCAAAATGGACATTTCCCAAAGACTAGACACCCAGTCTGAGTAGGAACCTTTTTTTCTTGTATATGATGTCCTTAAATTTTTTATAGTTCTGCATAACTATGCTTCATAAAGTGTTAGAAGTTGCCTTTMTCTAGCAGTGCTTCATCCCTGGTCCCTGCAGCACAATTTGCCACTCAAAGATAGGTACAAAATGAATGTACGTCTGGGTGGTGGGGAGCAACCAAGTAATCTAGTATATTGAAATCCTTTACTATTTGCATTTTAGCACTGTTTAAGTTGTTAATTAGTGTTTTAATTAAAATCATACCTCATTAAGTGTTTATTATGCTTCTGTCTAAACCCATTAGAAATCATTGTTTTTATATAAATGTATCTCACCTATTTGTAGTTACAATGTGTGCAGATAATTTCTAATAATTCAATKACATTTTAATTCTATGATTTGTATTCAAAATATGTTTTCTGTTTTTTGATTTTGTAGGGCCATGAGCCAAAGGAGCCAGAGCAGTTGAGAAAACTGTTCATCGGAGGTCTGAGCTTTGAAACAACAGATGATAGCTTGAGAGAGCACTTTGAGAAATGGGGCACACTCACGGACTGTGTGGTAAAGTGTCACATATTTGTACTTTCGGAAGGGTAAGGTACTTAAAGTAGCACAGAAATGCAGAATGCCTCCTTGTGTGTTTGCAGGTGATGAGAGACCCACAAACAAAACGTTCCAGAGGCTTTGGCTTTGTGACTTACTCCTGTGTGGAGGAGGTGGATGCTGCCATGAGCGCTCGACCACATAAGGTTGATGGACGTGTGGTTGAACCAAAGAGAGCAGTTTCAAGGGAGGTGAGTTAGTGTTCCAGTTAACGGTATTTCSTCATCTTTACCTAGTGCTTTTAAGCATAAATGTCATTTTTGGTATTGCAGGATTCTGTAAAGCCTGGGGCACACCTCACGGTAAAGAAGATATTTGTTGGTGGAATTAAAGAAGATACAGAAGAATATAATTTAAGGGAGTACTTTGAAAAGTATGGCAAGATTGAAACTATAGAAGTCATGGAAGACAGGCAGAGTGGAAAGAAAAGAGGCTTCGCCTTTGTAACTTTCGATGATCATGATACAGTTGATAAAATTGTTGGTATGTAACCTCTTTAGTGAGAAACTTCTTAGAGGATAAAAATGTTAATACAAGATTTCAGAACAGTAGTATGTGGAATGAGATGTTTGCATAATCAGCTGCTTTACTGTTGTCAGAGATGGAATTGATTTACTGKTTTTTTTTCAAAGTGTGCTCATGCCTTACAGTAGCTTTCTGTTTTACAGCATAGTCTGTGATGTGATTTTCTAACTTTCTTATTTCACAATTTTCTGTAGTTCAGAAATACCATACTATAAATGGACATAACTGTGAAGTGAAAAAAGCACTCTCAAAACAAGAGATGCAGACTGCTAGCTCTCAGAGAGGTGAGTTGTAGTTGTGCATAGCCATTTTGTGTAACAGGTTTTCAATTAATGTAATTCAAGTGAAATATTTTGTAGGTCGTGGGGGTGGCTCAGGCAACTTCATGGGCCGTGGAAACTTCGGAGGCGGTGGAGGGAATTTTGGCCGAGGAGGAAACTTCGGTGGGAGAGGTAAATGGCTTGAATATTGATATGGAATGTGATTTATGTTCTGGGTTTGGTCTATTTCCTGTATCAGTTGGCTTAAACACTTAACATGTGTGTTCAGGAAAACATTCTCGTCTGTTTTGTGTTCTAGGAGGCTATGGGGGTGGTGGTGGCGGTGGTGGGAGCAGAGGAAGCTTTGGGGGTGGTGACGGATACAATGGATTTGGTGATGGTAAGTGTATTGTTCACTTCATTTCCCCCACAATGTTAGAATCAGCTCTAAGTCTTGCCTTCACCTTGGAAACAAAGTCTGTTTTGGTGTTAATGTGCTAGTAGCGATAATGAAAATAAAATGTCTGCAGTGTAGAGCTGTGAAGAGTTCACTTTCCTTTTTGTTCTGCCCACAAAATGATGGGTGGAAAAAATAGTTATCTGTATTTACCCTTTCAATAATTCGTATCACTAGGTCATGAGGGAGCTGTTCATTACTGAGAAGTAAGTGAAGATTCTAATGTTGGTTGAAATGACTAAAACTGAATAAATCAGTAACCAGCTATCATACCAAAACATTTCAGTCAGCTCTTAATGACTACTTCTCATGGTCCAGTAGTATCTTTYCATGGTTCAGTTAGAATTGGTGTCCAAAATGCATCTGAAGAGAAATGGAGAAATTACCAAAAGGCTAAAAAAATGCAGTTACCAAAAAGCAAAAAGGGTTGCACAAAGTAGCATGTAATTAATTACTTMTGTCCTGATTTTATAAGCATGGGGTTTTTTTTTCAATTAAGTCGTTCAGATAAATTATGCAACCACAATGAATATAATACAGGGAAAGTGCTTTGGGACATTTTTATTTTGCAAATGTCTTGGTTTTTGTTAAATGGATCTTTCCTTACTAGTGTTTAGCTTTGCTATGTTAAGTTTGACTCTTCTTTTCTTCAAAGGYGGCAACTATGGAGGTGGTCCTGGCTATGGCAGCAGAGGAGGTTATGGTGGTGGTGGAGGACCAGGATATGGAAACCCAGGAGGTGGATATGGGGGTGGAGGAGGAGGATATGATGGCTACAATGAAGGAGGAAATTTTGGTGGTGGTAAGATTCCAGCYTTAATTCAACATCCRTGGTTYTTAGGTTTCATTGCACAGTGCCTGAAATATGGAAATGCATAAAATGAGCTGTATGAGTATGTTTTAATGTAGAAGGCCACGTTGCATAAGGAAAATTTTCCTCGTGGATCAGCTTTGATTAGCTTCRCTGTTAATTTCCAGGTATTTTTCAAAAAACTTTGGCTATAAGKTGTGTGTAGAGGCAGAGTACAAGAATTTTAAAGATATTTGACTRTTTCAAGTATGTTGCTGTCCTCAGACACCAGTTCACAACATGTAGATCACATTCTCTGTTGTGAAGACTATAAATCTAGATTTTTGTAAGCTTTTTCGATAGTTTGCCCCAGATTTGGGGACTTTAGCTGCAAAAAACTGCTGTATATCTTAGCATACTTTCTGCTGTATCTATGCAGCATGCCCATTACAATTCTGTCATTTTTTTTGAGCAAATAACTTGTAATTTACATTACTGTAATACATGCCAAGTTGATGAGTTCCATCTTTGATAAAACACCAAGAGCTGTGCATTACTTGTACATTCTGCATAGAAGTGACATCAGAATGCTTGAATGTCATTTGAAATCGTTCTAAACAATTGCARTTTATTTTTATATTGGATATCAAAATTTGGCAAGCTTCATGTCCTAAGTGTTCAGTAAACATGGCTTTATGAATTACTTGTTTCAGGTAATTATGGTGGAAGTGGAAACTACAATGATTTTGGCAATTACAGTGGGCAACAGCAGTCTAACTATGGTCCAATGAAAGGTGGTGGCAGCTTTGGTGGCAGAAGTTCAGGCAGTCCCTATGGTGGTAAGTATAGTTTGGTACAGAATTTTTTTTTTTTTCTAAATGCCTTGTTCCTGTTTTTCAATATTACACACTTTTTTTAGGTGGTTATGGATCTGGAAGTGGAAGTGGGGGCTATGGTGGTAGAAGATTCTAAAAATGCTACCAGAAAAAGGGTAGGTGTAATGCATATTTGTAATGATGATTAATAATGTACAACTGTTCACTGAGAGTAATAATTTTCTTATCCTGTATTCAACAGGCTACAGTTCTTAGCAGGAGAGAGAGCGAGGAGTTGTCAGGAAAGCTGCAGGTTACTTTGAGACAGTCGTCCCAAATGAATTAGAGGAACTGTAAAATCTGCCACAGAAGGAACGATGATCCATAGTCAGAAAAGTTACTGCAGCTTAAACAGGAAACCCTTCTTGATCAGGACTGTCATAGCCACAGTTTGCAAAAAGTGCAGCTATTGATTCATGCAATGTAGTGTCGATTAGATGTACATTCCTGAGGTCTTTCTCTGTTGTAGCTTTGTCTTTCTTTTTTCTTTTTATTTTCCCATTACATCAGGTATATCGCCCTGTAAATTGTGGTAGTGGTACCAGGAATAAACAAATCAATGAATTTTTAACTTTTCAATATTTGTGTAGTTCAGTTTTTCCACATTTAGTACAGAGTACTCTATAACAGAAATGAAATGTAGTTTAGGGTGTTTCCTTGTTAATAGAGAAGATAAATGCATTTCTCAATTACTATTTTGTATTAATTTAAAKTTAACAATAGAAACACCTATTGATTTGCAGTCTTAAGGGTCTAGTCTCAGTGTATATACATAACTGTCATTGACATGAGTTACATAGGCATACAGAGGAAAAACATCTGTATGTTGCATTATAGTTTGTTTAGATGTATAACTAGGATTGAGTTACTCAAATTAGTGTTTGTGAATCATAGAACTAAGCTTTACCTTAATGAAAATTTCGATTTACCTTTTGGTTTGTGCCTATTTTTTTAATTTGTAGTTCTGTGTTAGTACTAGCGCTTCAAGAAAATAAGGCATGATAAATATTTTAACAAGACCGACTTTAGACACATGAAAGCTGTCTCCCGTCTCATTTGAGATGCATAAGGGATAACTGAAGTTGTTTAAGTCTTGGGTGAAGAGAAAAAGAATTTTGCTTTTTACCTTTATATTTATTGTAATTCCCAAGAAGTTAAGGTGGGGGGAATCAAGTGCCTGTTTCCTTGGGATATACAATGATTCTGTTTCAATAAAACTATACTTTGGGGAGGGTTGCGTGGAATTTTCATCCCCTTTGTCCGCATTTCCTGCTCCCTCGCACCAGACTGCACTGTTTCAATTAAATGAGGCATCATAGTGAGAGTAATAGGTATGTTCCTCAATAATTTAATGGCTATATACTTTCTTGCATGCACCCTAGGCAATTTTCTGGACACAATCTTCAGACTGGGAGCCAAAGGTAGCACAGGTGTAATCACTGACAGTCCCAGGTAATGCGTTCCAAAAGCCCATTCCCTGTGGGCCCTTAAGTAGTAGAGTTCTTAAAACTGTTTCCCTGGCAGATGCTTGTGCTCAGCTAAGAGCTAAAAGATAAAACATGATCTAGTTGTATTTTACTGACTAGAAGCACTTCCACAATGTCGAGTGGTACAGTCCTGAGTTTCCACAGGTAGAATGATAGTGTGCTTCAATTGGATTTGGTGCAGTGGTGTAGAAAATCTGACCAGTACGTGTGGCTAGCAATTGTACTTCATTCTCACTTCTGACCTCCAAATTAAGGCACTGCAGTCTGTCCTGTCCTCATCTGATGTGAATTCTCTTGACTATTGCCAGGCCAGTGCTTGCTGTCAATTCAGACTCAGAAGAGTAGGGGCCCAGTCAATAAAAGAAATACTCAGACACTTGGCAATATGTATTGGAATTACTCACGCCTGTTTCACTTCTGGGTCAATGTGCAGTATAAGGTAAATGCAATTCCAGTGTAGGAATGAATCTGCAAAGATGTATGAAATGGCTCAAGGCATAATCAGTCATATTAATTGAATTATAATTTTTAAGAAGTGGTAGAAAAATAAGTGTGTTGTTTGAAAAAAATTAAACATGTTATTTAAACGCTGTTATTTGAGTGTATGTAGTCTGCAGTACACTTAAACAAGGAWCCAGTGTCAAGATGGTAGCCTCCAGAATGGATTTCAAAGTCTGCTTTTCTGTGGAGTTCTGAAAGATCTCGAAAGTTAAAGCAAGAATTGGTGGTTTAGTGAATGCTTCTGTTGTACATGTTCATTTGGGCTTGGGGGGGAGGCTGTACTTGAATAAAGGCATTTTTAAACAACCCATTTGGAGTTTGAAAACACTGGGAAACTAAACCACAACTCACTAGGGAGTAAGACACCTAACTACCAACTTGTTTGTACGTTACTGCGCTTAGAAGATGTGTAGACTTGCACCTGGGGCCTGCATCTGATTGCAGGGACAACTGGAGGTTGGGGTTGATGTCCCTTCTGACAATTGATCTGGTATTTCTAAATTTTTTTAGAATGTATTGACAGTGTTCTTTTTAACAGGGCCTTTTGTAGCTGTACTGTGACTACAATGTTAACTTTGAAAAATAGTGTCATAATAAACTTTATGAACAAGATCTGTATGCAACCTTTTAAGAGATGGATGTAAGTGACCGTTTTGTAGGTGGGTGGGGTAGCTTAGCTGTTGTTTGTGATGTGGAAAAGTGTAAGCCATGAGGACAGTGATCCGCCAGCTTTACAGAACCTAGGATGTACTTCTTTGATCCATACATTGCTAAGGAGACTCGTAAGACAGGACTTCAGCAGCCTATTGAGTATGGAGAAGTCAGCCTAATTAAAGAATGACAAGGCAGCAGGAGCAACAGCTTCAACTTCCAGAAAAGTGAAGGAATAAGATACTGTGCTGATAGTGAGCAGCTTTCCCGAGGCTAGTTAAATCTGCTTATCACAGCTGAAATATCGAAGAAAGTCTAGCAAGAGTTCTTCACCTTTTGGAACCTCCTTGAGTGATAGCTACTTGAGTTGACTCAAAATCAATAGGTCTAGCATTTAGACCTGAAAGGAAGGGCAATGAGCATAGGTAAGGTTTGCCTTTAAAATTTTTCATGAATTATAAAGAGTGGTGGGTGGTTTTTAAACAAGGTAAGAGTAATTTCTTTAATTTTCAGGTTGAATGAGAAGCTGCTGCTTGACAAAATGGGGAATGTCTTGCACATCCTCTTCCAATGAAGGTTTCTGACTGGGTAAGATTTCTAGTGTATAGTAAATACCTGTTTTAATCCTTATTTCCTTCTAGATTTTCCTTTGACAGCTTTTTAATACCAAGGGAAATCATAAATACTAAGCAGCAAGTATTCCAGCATATGGTATCCAGTGTTTCCTGTTCTGGATGAGGGCTGCTTACTGGCATAATTCCTATTCAAGAATCTTCTGTTCTTGACAGATGCAAAATTGCTTCGTGTATGAGATCAACAAGACAAATTGGAGTTTTGAAATTGGTGTTTTGGTTACCGGGGAGTGTGCTGGGCTGAGGGGTGTGGGGGGAAACAGTTCTGTTTTTCAAGGAAAGAGGTGCCCTGGAGAAGCCCAGAAAAGGGTATGACACTGCTTGTTCAGTTCCAGCAGTGTGTGACCTGCTGCTGCTGCACCCATTCTGGAAGGGAGCTTGGCATTTCCCTCCTAGAGAGTAAGTACCAGGTGGTGTACTTACCTGTACAAATCAAAGTGCTCCCTTTCAGATTTTGGGTACTCCCAGGCAGGGTAGTTGATGCCAGTTCTGTCAATATGATACCCAGCTAAAACCACAATGGCATTTGTCATACAGGTGAATGGCATTAAAAACTTCCATGGACTCTTTATTTATGCAGATTGGAACATCTGCTGTTTCCTTTTCTGCACCTTTGATAGTTGCAGGTCCTTCTATAAGTAATTCAGCATCTATTTAAACTCCCTAGTACATTTCTGAGCCTCTGCATTCTTCTGAATTCAATTTCTCTTAGTGTTGGTTGTACTTCAGTTGCTATGAAAGTCATATGGAACCTGCCTAATCAGAGGCAGAGACATGTCCACAAACTGGTTCAAGTATTGAAACTTTTTACCTGCTGCCTGTAGACTTCTAGAAAGTAATACCTGACTTTGTAATATACAATTAAATGTAATTTGGAAGTAATAGACAGATTTTCATAAAATCAGAAGCTACTTAGTAGAAAATCTCGCTATGACCACGTATTTTTTTAAAAACATTGACAAAAGTTTGTGCTTAGCCAAGGTTAAGCTAAAATCTGAAACTAGCAGTTGCCATAGTGTAATGTGCCAGACAGTTTGTTACTGAGGTGACAAGCTTGCTTTCTTAGACCTAAACTTGGGAAACCTGTGCTTTTGCTCTGCTTGGTGGAATACCTCCAGGCATCTGTGCATCAATAGGTAATGGGGAATGTTGCCCCTCAGGTGAGGGCAAATACCCTTTACTTGTGGTGGTCTTGGTACTTGAAATTTCAACAATAAAATTTTGAAAACATTTTAACAAAATTAATTTTTAACAAAAACTTTGTTGTTTACATTCTGGTACTAGGCCTGTGTATAGAACAAAGCTCTACCTTTTCTTGAGAGGTTTCCACATTGCAGCAGACTTGTTCTGTGCTCTGGATGGGTCTTTGTACCACATACAGAAAGAGATAGTCAGTGTTAAAATTATTTTCACACTTGGATCATAACACTCTTGTTAGACTAATTTGCTAAAATCGTTTATTTATAGCCAAATTTGTTCAGAAATCACTTTGACAAACATGAACATGTTCTTAAGGGATTACTTGGACAAGTGCATCTCTGTCCAAGAGGTACTTTTAGGAGTTAAGAGCATTGTTTCATGACCCTGTTTTTGTTCACTGGCTTCTATTGAAAATGCAGCTGTAAATGGGGATATAAAGATGCAAAGTTAATGAAGCATTGGTCCCTAAGCTGTAGTTGTACAGAAATTTATTTGATAACAAAAAGGGTACTTCCAGGTAGTGAAGGGGCTTTTCCCCAAAGCAGCCCAGAGTGATGGAGATRTAGTAAGGTTATTACAGAAAACCGAAATGAAATAGAGCATTTAACTTTGACATCCTCTCAGTAGTTAAAGTTCCTAGTCTTTTCAAGCATTGTTTGTATGATGTAAGATGTTTTCCTGTAATGTCTACATGGAGGTGGAATATTTGCAAATCAGTCTGTGACAAGTGTGTGTATCTTAAATTGTGTGATGCATGTAAGATCTTGAGTATCACTGAAATTCAGATATCTGATGGATGATTCTTTTTCTGCTGTGGGTGCTACAGGTTGACATCTCTCTCTATTAGCTTTTTCCTGAACTAAAGTAATCCAATTATCTGCATAGAAGAAAAAAATGGCCTTCATGTAGAAGATAATATCGCAAGATTGGAAACAGAATAAAATGGTATAATTACTGGCAAAGACTTCAAGAGCAATGGTGCTAATGTGCTGACATCTTAGAACTTGTGGTTAAACAAGTTAAAATAGCATGGAAATTTAACATTTCAGTATAGTCCATAATGGATTGAAATTTGTTAAAATATTTCAATTTTGTATCAGAATAAAGTGTATATTGTCAGATGACTTACAATTCAAAATGCGTTGGCATTACCTTCTTTTTAGTGCTGTGAAGAATACAGAGCGGTCTGGAATTATTGCAACACTTTTCCTTACAGGATCATCCTTCTAACTTGGGACTGCAAGCCAAAAAACCTTTGTTTAGCCCAGCTTTTCAGCTTTACTCTTAATAGTTTTAAGATTGAATGTTTTGATCAAGGAACAAATGGTCTCCGTGTGGCGTCTTGTCAGTGTATGAGGTCAGCATTGTGATGCTTTAGACTTGGCAATGTCACTGTTACTCTCAGGTTTTTGAACCTGTACCTCAGTAATAATAAAAATAAAATGAAGGTTCAACTTTGCCATCTGCTGTTTTTGTATATATGAGTAATGTGGAATTTTTTTTCCTTAATGATGGGTGTTTCAATGCGAGTGCAGCATTCACTGTATTGATGAGGCAAAGAACACTTGCTTAAACTGAATGCAAGTTGTCACAGTCAGTTACTTTAAACTGATTCTTCACCTGGTGAAATTCAAACAAGGCTGCTGCATTAAYTGCAGGTTTTGTGGTGGTGCACTTTTCCTTTCAGTAATGGAAGAAGTGTCTTTGTATTACATTTTAGACAAATGGGTGGTACAAATACATGAGTCCCTGCAAAGGCTGTGAGGATGTTGTTTGGCTTTCACATTAGTGAACAAACTAAGGAACAGATAGAAGTGCAGGGCAGTGAGATGTCTGTTTATGGCCAATTTGTAAAAAAAGTACTYGTATTGCAGCTGAAGAGAGAATTTCCTCTGACAGACATTTGACAGCGTAGTATCAGGGTTGAAAGCCTTTCYAGAGCCATGGCTCAGTCTTTCTCTCTTATGCTCATGCTCTAAAACTGCCATCCTCAAAAACGGATTAGGCCTCTTGCTTTAAATGGCAGCACTGYGTTGCATGCCATAGTGCTTGCCCAGACTTGGCAGTTGTTGGGGGTTTTCCTTCCTGATAAGTGCTTGTGGCAATAACAGCATCAGAAGGAAAATATCACCCTTGCTGCAGTATCTTTGATTTAGGACAGCCAGGCACCAGCTAGACTAGAGCAAGTCCATTAAATCGAGCCTCCAGGTTTTCAGCCATTGTTGCTGACCATTTGCTACAAGCAGAGGAGTGTTTCTGCATTCCAGGTGTGTCRAGGACAGGGCAGGAGGACAGCCTGGCACACAGTTAACAAGGTCAGTATCACGAAGGTAAGCTGTCTCAAGGTGCAAGCTCGATCATCCACATCTGCATGATTTTGCGTGTCTGCAAAATCACAGATGTCAGCATGTGATGCAACAGGCATAGTTCCTAGCACTCAGGGGATGCTGGAAATCTGAGCTGAATTTTTCATGACTCCACTGTGTCTGCAGTGTCGAACATGGACATTTTGCAGGGCAGAACCTCACGTGAAAGTCTGCAACAACTAACCGTATGAGAAGCCGTGTAAAATACTGAGGTGGGTAGTGCTGGAACATCTGCTCGTCCCAGGTTCAAGTACCAAAGGCTTCTTTCTGGTCCTATTACTTGGCAATACACCTGCTTTGTAAAGAGGATGTAGTCAATGGGATCACAGTTCCTGGTGTTGCCCCGGAACAAACCACCCTTTGGGATGAAGCTGTGATGTTACGCTTTTCTTCCCCCTGCTCTGCCAAGGCTCCATTGCAGAGGGCAGGGAGAGTGTGTGGATGAGTGCACCAGGTGCCAGGGATGCCTCTGCTAATCAGAACTGATAAATCAGTTTACAGGAAGATGGAGACAAGGTGACAGAGGTTGTGCGGTAATAAAAACAAAAGCTGATTGTGAAGTTACTGACTGGTGCTACTGTGGCCAGCCAAAGAGTAAAAGATAAACTGCAATTCAGTGCATCTGGGGAAAACCAAAACTGGTACCTACATCATTGTAGGCTCCAAACTAATTCAGGTGAGAAGGTTTGCAGTCACGGGATTGTTGTATGAAAGCAGCAAACAGCACAGAACAGCTGCAAAAGGGAGCCCTTCCACAGAATCCTTTGATACAATACATACCAGAACTGTGGCTTTCTCTGCTTCCTAATTGCACTGGATTATTTTTGGGGAATTGGGAGAATATAAAATTGTTCTTCAGCTTTCATGGCCAGCTGAGATGCTTCCTGATGGATATGCAACTCCAGTTAAAAGGTGTGATAATAAAAATATCAAGACTGAATTCACCAGCAACTGTGCCACTTTACTTAACATTACTCTAACTTTGTGAATAATGAGTGAATGGAAGGCTGGATTCCTAATCTGAAATCCCACTTTAAACCCTTTCTCCTACTGTATTACTAAACCATCTTTGTGGGTTCTATTCTACCCTTTCTCAGCACCTCCATTTCCTTCTTTTTAAAATACATATCAGAAGGTGTTTCAAAACAACTTTTTTTAATACTTAAATGGCATTATGCATAATATATGAATAAATTATTTCCTAAAATTATACAGATCATCAGTGACAAGAAAAAAAAAATCACTTCAGATCAAGCATGCCTTTTAGAAGTTTCATAGGGAAGATGATACAGTTTTTAATATTCAGATCAACATGTCTTGTAAATTATACATTTTCTGTATTGAAAAAATCCAAAACAATGAAGTGTGATGAGTTCCTCTGAGCAGTAAACAAAGTAATGCTATTTATTTGCCCATTTTTTATTCTTTTACAAATTATAATTTAAAAACTCCATGAAACTTTTCAATTCACTGAGCAGATTCCCAACAGTGCAAGTGGCTGGCTGCTAGGATGCTGTTACCCACCAGCACCACAGTACCCGCAGGGACAAGTGACGCTCATTGATTGAAGTCAGAGGCACAGTAMCGTATTTCTAGGAGAACTGCTTGAAAACATTGAGAAATTTTAGCTGAAAAAAGGCATAATGCTGACAATGCCTTAACAGATTTTAAATGCCTTTGAAGAAAAGATCTCATGAATTTACAGTGTTCAAGGAGGAAAACAAGAATGTAAGCTTAGCACAGACTTGAAACTTTGTGTTACATGATCTTTCCAAAGGTTATGAAATGAAGCTGAATGAAGCATTAGTAATGCTGACACTGATGTGTGATTGATTATCATGCACATCTGTTACATCAAGACTCAGCCTTAGWAAACTAGCAAGGATTTCTCTTCTTTAGACAAAGAAATGTGTATGGAGTTAAAAAAGTTTAATGAGCTGATWAAGCAAAATCAAACACTGTCAACTTTTATACTAAATTAATATATTAAATATAAAGCAAGTGTAAATGTGTAAGAAAAATGGGAGACACCATTGCATATTTATAAAAAAAAAATATCAGAAGCCATCCTGGTTGTCTTGCAAGAAATTATATTTAGAARGCTAAAATCATATTTTTATATATATATCAAATAAATCTGTGAATATAACAATAGATAGGAACAGTATATAAATATGGCATATTTAAATATTTACACATATATGGAAACTAGTCARAGTGGAGCTATAGGAAGGAAATGTCTGTTACAAAAGTCAGATTAAAAATTTTGTATATGCCCATCTGCATTGCATGATTAATTTTCAACTTGCATCTTCCATAAGCTAATTAACAACTTTAAAATTATCATTGCATAGACTTACTTGACAAATATTACTTAATTCTGCATTTCACCTCACAGTAAAAACTATCATGATAATGATACAAAAATARTAACTCAGAGAACAGTAGCCAGCTGTGCTGCCCTTTAAAGTTTAGTCCCTGACTTCCTGCTCTTAGGAACAAGAAAGACATTGCCATCTCTAGTTTGTTGCAGTGAATATTCACTAGGAGAGTAAGGCTTTCCATCTTCATCACGTAGCATGCTGAAGACCTCGAGATACAAGGTGGCGAGTTGCTTCCTCATTTGATGAAGGCTCCTGTCATGCTCTCCTTTTTCCTTAAGCAATTTCTCTTTCTCATCTTTTAGGTTACTCAAATCTTGCTCCAGTTCTACTATATTTTCCAGTTTTCTCTTACGGCAATTTTGAGCAGCCACTTTGTTCTTACCTCTCCTGCGTATRTCTCGAATAAGTGTAAGCTGGGCTTCATTGAACTGCTCTTTAGACATCATTTCATGGAAGTCCTCAACAGGGAGATTGATGATTTTTTCAACAGGAAAAGGGATCTGCAGAGCTTTTGCTCTTTGCTCATCTCTCGTGAGWTGAGCCTCAAGGCGGCTGGGAGGTTTATCTTTTGTGAACGGAGCTTTGGGTTGGCCGGGASCAGGAGGGGGTTCTTGCTTTGGTGTGGCTGTACATGGCAAACTTGGTGTTTGAGCGTTTGGCCCTACGGAAGAAAACSCTGGATCCTGCAGGTGCAAAGAGTACGCAGTAGCATTGCTGTGCAGCACACTTCCAGGAGCACTATCCGTGTCTTCCATTTCAGAATCGCTGCAAGCCAAAGTCTTATCTGCACAGGCAGAAGATTCTACAGAGTGTTCTGGTGATGCCACGCTAGAGCTTGCATTCAGTGAAATACCAGAGTCAGAATCGTTACATTCTGCTCTGGTCCCTGAGTGGCTGCCATTAAAAGCTTTACACAGCGCGAAGTCTGAGAGATCAATAGGTTCACTTAGAATCTCCGCCAGGGATTGACTGATAGTGTTCGTTGCTGCTGCATCACCGTTGGCCTTTGTATCAATAAAGGTGCTGTAGAAATCCTCACAGAAATCTGAGTTTGAAGGGGATGTGTCATTTAAAGAGTTCACACTCAGCTGACTGGTGTCTTCTGGTGGCAAAATGCCTGAAAAGGGGCCCTCCATACCATCCAGGAAATCTGGACTGCAGCTAACTCCTTTTTTCATCATGGGTAATGAGCTGCAGTAATTGTAGCTGCTGTGCATCTCTGCTGGCTTGGTTTCAGGGCTCGTGACTGTGCTCACCTCAGCCAGGTTATCACTTTCGATGTTCAGGCACTAAATAGGAAATACAAGGGAGAAGTTGAGCAACACATCTCCAATCGATAAAACCTCTTTCTATAACCCACAAGCATTAAATAGCTCTCAACATGGACATAAAAAGGGTATTATAGCACTGCTGTAGTGTAATGACTACAGCACACTTGTACTGTGGAGAGGCAGTCAAGGAAGATGACAGATTTCAAAGCAAGAGGACAACACAACTTGTTCTGGACAAAGCTGTTTAGACTAAGAGAGCAGAGCCTCTCCAGCTCAGAGCAAGAGCTGAAGACACCCATTCCAGTGTGTCATGGAAACTGCATGGAGCCCTCCTGTTCTGGTAACTGCTAGTGGGGATCCTGGAGCTGCCAGGTCTGAACTGCTCACTCAATGGCATGAGTACAGAAATATAAAATTCCTMAGTGAAACCTAATGAGCATTACTACCAAAAGATTACTTCTAGCACTATTAATCACATCATAGTTCCTCAAAACCAAGATTCTTCTAGGATTTACTGAATGATGCAGCTGTTCAGGGCAGCAAGGTAATTCTTGGTGATGTAAAAAGAGCAGTAACATGGAGCTGGGCAAACACACTTTTAATTRGGCAGGCTAGCACCAGTGTGAGCATCAGACTTTCACTGGCTACAAGAACAATGTCCTTTCCAATGACTGAAGCTGAAATAAGCAGGCCTGCTGTCCCCCAGGAATCAGGCAATTACCCAAATGATTCTATTTCTCTTAAGAAGAGTCCATACACTGATTACTTAACCAGAGGTTGTTCAAGGCTTAAGCTAAGATTTTGAACGTAGGAGCTGTTTTTCCATTTCTCTGAACATAATTTGTAAAAGGCAGTGCCCTCAATTTAATTATCTATTTTCTTCCAGAAAATTATTCAATTACTATTCAGAATTACTGCAATAGATTATTTTGTTTTGGGTTCTTAATGTATTTTCACCATCACTGCTGCCTCTTCACAGTCAGTTGCCCTCGTTACTTATGTGGGCCCTCTAAGCCAAACACGGTAATCAGGTTCAAAAACTAGAAAAAAATTGAAAAACATAAAAAGATGAAGGGAAAAGGTAGAGTAGCAGGAAAAACTCAATTCCTGCAAATTTTACTTTATTTTTTTGCAATATGATTCAGATTTATGGGCACTCATAAGCAATCATGTCTTGTATTAATAGTGTAAAGTAGAGTAGCATCAAGCTGGAGAGTATGATGACCTTCCACAGTAATGTATTTGAAAATAAATGTATTCAGTTTTATAGTCAAATATAATGAAAATATCAATAGAATTATAAGGACAGGATAAAAATCCCTACATATCCTCAGTATTAGCAAAGTTATTTTTTTGTTTCTTTGAAATATCCAGTTCATGTACATTACCTAAGTTGTTCTTACCGTATATGTATATAAACAGCATTTACATAAATATACCTCTTTTGTATTTCTAAATATACATTCTATTATCAGCTTAAAGAAAACCTTTTTCTTAGATAAAAGTTGAATGCAAAAGTAACCACAATCAGACACTGTCAAAAAACCCCGAACATTTACAGTAACACTTGTGAAAACAATTCCTGTTGTAGATCCATGACTCAGAAGTGTCCATTCTTAAGCAGCTGAATTTTAACGCTGTAAGAAGTTGCACACAGAGGCAAACAGTGACTTGCTAAACATGAGGAAGTTCTGACTGAGAAGTGTTTCATCAAGGCTAATCCATAAAYAACACATTTCCTTCTTTCTACACGTTTTTCAAAATACTCTTTTTGAAAAAATTCAAGCTTATATTGAGTTATGAGCACCTTACAGGTGTAGAAGGCAAGTCATAATAACCATTTGTTCAGATGCTATTGTACTGCCTTCTCCAAAATATCATAGTCCTCCAAAAATATCATGCATTGTTTTTCAGGTGCTTATCATACTAACCTGTAACTCTGAAAGGGACAATAATTCTTCCCAAACTTGCTCTATGTTCTGCATATTCTCTGCATCAGTGGGTGGTACTAGATCAGAGGATTCAGGTGGCTGAGTTTGATCAGAGGAAGCAAAGGCTGGGTTGCTATTGACCTGAGCAGGAACCAGTGACTGAAATGAAGCTGAAGAAGCCTGAAAACAAAAAATTAAAAAGCTGAACAAAACAATGATAACTAAAAAACCCACTCAAAGAAACAGACTTTCATTGTCCWAAGCAAAAATCTGGTTTTTGGAGTACTACCATTTCCACAGAACAAGCCGAAACAGGTACTTCCTAAGGAAAGGGTTTTTTTTTCATAAACAATGGAATAATATAAAAATATTCCCGTSGAAAGCATTTTCATATTAAAGAAATAGGGAAATACATCTAGAACATGGCTGGTGAAGGGTATAGAGCTCATGGTGCCAGGCTCACAGCTCGTGCTGGCCTTCACAAGGAGCTCTGGCTGTGGCACCCGGGAAGGGGAAGGGACACAAGCACCAACCACGCCACCCCCACCACACACAGCCCTAACTCAAGCCTACTCAGTGCTTTATTCTAGCTGCAGCCAGCTGAGGAGAAAACTCACATCCCTAATTAGTCTTATGCTGAARACAAATCTTAGAGAAGACATGAGGCTGACCCCATGGAAGACCACCCATAAAACCACTGCATCATGCATTTTTACCTCATGCTCATCTATAAATGGGAATGTTTCTGCCAAGAGATGCATGCAGTCATCAAAGGACAAGGCCTCTGCTTCTGGTTTTGAAGGCTCTGTGGTCTAAATAGGAAAGTTATGAAAAAAGGTTAGTGCATCTTTGAGTAACTGAAGAYCTTCCATTACAGCAACACATGCAAATTCATTTTAGGCAGCCACTAGCATAATGCCTTCCTGTGAATGGAAAAAGGGTTACACACACTCACAAACACTGGAGTTTACCTGTGAGAAAACAACGGGTGGCTCAGTATTTTCTGACTGAATGCWCTGAGCTGGCTGCACAGGAATAAATTCGCCTGTCTCTTCGTCTAACTCCAGCTGAGCCAGCAAGGCTTTCTCCTGCTCTTTTTGGAGCTGCTCTTGTCTTTCCTTTTCAAGTTTCTTCTGTTTCTCGAGTTCATACTCCTTCCGTCGCTGACTAGAATCAAAAACTTCACGTCYTGCCCCAAGGTCTATATCTTGCCTCCAAAGGATGTCGATCAAGTTCATGTCCTGCAACAGAAATGCTTTTTTAAAGCAAGTTCCTCCCCAGCAGAACTGTTTTAGAACAATAGCAAAATTTTATTCTCTGTGTCAAATGGGTGGACTCACGTAACTGAGGCTTATTCTTTTCATTCAGCAAAATTACCAAAATAAAATATGGCTCTATATGAACTTTCTGAAAGTGTGTGAACTGGTGGTTTGGTTTCTGTGGCCTATACACAGGCCTACAGAAACCAAGAATTTATTACAATTGGTAAGGTAATACAGGAATTAGCCAGAGGATAGATGTATTCTTCTTTTTTGACTTATCTCTTATTCTGTATCTTATAGGAACATGAAGATACAGAATGAATTTGTCAGAGAGAAAGTAATTTTTAGGAGGAAAGAGAGAAATTGAAAAGTTTGATCACATAAACCTTTATTCACGTGCTCTTGTAAAACTGCAAAAGCTGACTAAAAACCTGATTAAGGCTTTCTGAAGTAACTATAATAGCCATACTGTAAAATGTATTTTGAAATATTAATCTTCTATCCTGGTAATAATCTCAAAACATTAGCAGAACAGAGCTTCGGAGTTCTGAAAGAGAATCTGATTTCAAAGACACCAAGTGACACAACATCACTAGCACTAAAGACTATTACTAAAAAATTGTAATTTAAAGCTCAGTCCATGTTGATGTTCTAAATGTGGTTTGGAGCAGTGTAAACAGTGGTCACATTGTCTCAAATACTGTTAATCAGATGGCCCCTGGCTCATCACAGAGTCCATTGTTATCAGACCTAGATATCTTGGACATCAGCTACCCCTTGCACCTGTAGTGTTTAAGAAGACAAATGAAATTCTGCTATTAAGGGAAAATCAATTGCTTTMTACTATTTGCTTTGCAATTACTTTTAATTTATTGCACCAGGGTTTTTTTATTGGGGAGATTCTTTTGTTTTGCTTTTTCACTGTTCAAATAGTATTTTTAGGGCTGAAGTCTAGAGTATTTTCTCCTATGAAGAAAATCTAACACTCAAAACTTACAAATTTTTATGCCAGCTGATACAGATTTTTAATATTTGGTAGCCAGATTTCTCASATGGGTAAATGCCAGCCATTTAGCTGGTGCCTGGAAGTTTTTGATTTCCCATAATGTTTCACTATGCTTAAAATTATCGCTTGGGTAGCATACGAAAATAATGTTCAGTTTTGGGCATCCTCATCAGATTAACACACTGCAAGTAATACACCAAACACCGCATTTCATTTAAACAGACCCTTCCTGATTCACTCAGCAGCTCTAAACCCAAGAGATTATTTTTTTGTCATCATATCAAATTAAAACATTTCCTTCTCTCTAAAAGTTATTTTCAAACAGAGAAGCAAAGTAATCTGAATGCCAACTCAGGCTGCCATTCAAAATGATCATGTCTGTACAACAGTTGTGGCAAAAAGCTTTAGGCCAAGTCCACATCTGAACAAACCAATTTCACATGGCATGAACAACTTCTACTAATAACTATAAAAATGTATTTTGACTAAAATTTGGTAGTTACGTAAAATATCTTTGTGTAATACAATGCAAGCACTTCCAAATCTAAAACATATTTAAAATACCTTGCTGGGAGAGACCAAACCCAGCTTTAATGGTCAGCAATTAGAAGAAAAATAAGCTGAAATTATTACAGTGGCTGCCCAAGACAATGTTTGGTCTTTCCAGATTGGCAGGGTAAAACGAACTAATTAAGTTCTACAGTAATTGCAGATATTGCAATGTGGTATAGCTTCATTAAGGGCCAGTAGTTTACCAGCTGCTCAGTGTCTCCTTCTGCAGCAGATCCAAAAGTGTTTTCCAGTTGCTGAGCATTTGCAATATGTTCTGGATAAAACTGCAGGATCTGGATTTTAGGGCTCATTTCTGAATTATTCACCATTACAAAGCACCATTAAAAATGTGACTCAAAAGATTTTTTTGTGTGTATGTGCAGATAATGCACAAAGCTGTGAATTACCAGAGCTGTTTTCCTCCATGAGTTGCAACAGATTGCAGCACAMGAATATCAGAACTGGTGCTCAGTTTCAGGTTAAGTTATGAAAAACAAAAGTGAACAAAATAAAGAGCTACAGAAGGCAAAACATATTTTCCTTAAGAAAATCCTTCTAGCCTTAACACAAAATCATAAAACACAGCTATCGCATCTTTCAGTCATTTTAATGACAATATTCATTATCGAAGTAGCTTTGAGTGCTGCCTCATTCATGGGAAGAGATGTCTCCAAACACATCAGCTGACCTAAGAAAATGCTGTGGCTGTRCACTGCTGCCTCTTGTGTGTGCAGCAGTCAGTTCAGCAACCAGGATTCTTTTTTGAATGAATATGCTTGCACGCTTACCAAGATTGTCAGGATCTTGAGCTGCCATCTGACAAATATGACAGCACTGATTGGCTCCTGTCACCATTTTTCAAGGGACCATATTTAGGTCAGTGTCTCATCTCTGGCAAAGAGCTGAGCTTTGCCAGTGTCATCTTCTTCCCTGGGGGGCAGTGCTTGATAGGAGCATAGTTTTTGTTTTATTAAGTGTTGTGTTAGTGACTTAAAACCAAAAGGATGGGTTGTTTTATTTCTGTCATCACCATAGAACTGGAAAAGAGCCCTCCTATTTTCAGTTTGAAAAGCTGTACATAAATACAGCAATACTAGTCTTAACTTTGAATAACAATTCAACTAATTATTCTTAACATAAATGGGCTATATGGAGGTGTTCTTCTGATCAAAATGCTGATATGTAGTATCTAACAGCACCCTGATGTAAATATTAACCYGCCACTTAACACTGATCTATAATTTCAGTCAATGCTATTAGTAATACTGCCCTTTTCAAGAAAAAAAAAAAATTCTGGTCATTAGTCCAAAGCCTCAGGTCAAAGTTAATGGAGTCAACATTGACCAGTGATTCACTAAGGAATGAATCACAACCACAAGCACGAGGTAATGCCAAAGAACTCTTAAAAAAAACCCTTGCAGTCTAAAGCAAACATTTTGCAATTTTGTTCTTTCAGCCTCCCCACAGTCTTCCTCTTTAAATTATTTCCCTGYCTTGTGGAACACACTCACAGAGGTACCCACACAGGCAGAAACTCTAGGTTTATCACTGAAGCAATTTTCCCATTCTACTATGAAATTTTCCCAAAAGTAACTGTGCACTTGACACCTGGAGTATTTAAACTGAAGCTATTAAAAGGTGTTCTCCTTTCCTGCACAAGAACAACCTGCTGGTTTTTAGATGCCTCAGTATGATGTGCTGGGCTCAGAAAGACTCATTTAGTGGGACAGGCGAGCACAGATTGGCATCTAAAGTGGAACACGTGCCCCGAGAATCCTGTGAAAGATTCATCTGACCCAGAGCTGGCTGCTGCCCTTCAGAGCCACGCTGACCACTTCCCTGAATATCAGACACATTTACTGCAAAGGCACCAGCCTCATGTGACAGCCTCACAAGCACCCGCTTGTTCTTTCCTCTGTTGTGCAACTTCTTGAATTGCATCAGAGGAAACGACGGGTTTGGCAGRGCCAGGAGGCCACTCAGGAAGAGAAGAGCCAGGCCTGTGCCCAGGAGGGATTGCAGAGTGGTGCTTCCCCCTCCCCTGCAGCTCAGCTCCTTCCTGCTGCACACCARCACCTAGGCCAACGGGAAATACCCACATGGAATCCCGGAAAGTAGCACTGYTGTCCACCGTTTTGAACTTTGGAGAAAATCGTAAGGGTTTAATATTTGTCCCAAGCAGACAGTGTTTTGATTTTGGTTTTAATATTTTCTTTATCATTTTATAGACAGAGAAACAACTTCTCTCAACAAACTATATGCTTTGCTTTCCCATGACCAACATAAGCAGGAGGTGCCTTGTACCGATGGTTTGGTTCTTCTGTTCATTTAGTGATATGCTCTTCCAACCACACTGAGAGCTTAGTTTGGACATATAAAGGCACTTTTAATAAGATAAACATAAATGTTAAACAATTCACATTAAGCCACCATCTGGCCCCCAATGGAAATTTTCATGTTTTAGATTTACATATCAGCATTTGCCATCTGGGCAGAGTCTGTTACACATTTTATGAGAAAATCTCTGACTACATTGTAAAGCTTGACAATTAACTCTTATTGCTCCTAAGCAAACATTTGCAGAAGGGTAAACAAAGGAAAGAGACCCTGTTTTCATGTTACTTTCATAGACTGACTTCCGTGCTTTAAACAAAATGCTAATCTTTTGTTTCATCYCTGTCTGGTTTATCCGACTGGCTTTGGTGTTATTTGGAATATAAGCCACTTACAGGTAGCATTGTTAGAATGGAAACATCAGCAGCCCAAGTGTCAGCAGAGAATCARTCTGCTATCTGAGCACCTTCAACCCATTGTAAACTATCCCCTGGATACAGACCACAGTTGTGGCGTTTGTACATTTGCTTCTTAAGTCATGCCTTTTGCACCATAAATTGAGATAACACAAGCAGAATGTCTCACCAGATTTGTTTTCCTTTCCCATGATCTGTTAGCACCTAACCCCTAAACAGATGATTTCACATGCCAGCAGAAGTCAATACAGAAGAGCAACAGAATCAATGGCTGTGGCATCAGCAGGGAGCTCAGACCAGCATTCCACAAGGAGCAGGAAAGCATTCCTACAGCTTACWCACASAAAGGGACAGGGCAAAGTATTCYTCAATTTTTATCTGCTTTCCAGAAAACATTGAAGGGAATGAACAAAAAAGCACCTTGCATTTTTGGTTTATTAAAAAAAAAGCAGGGAAGGGAGTGAACAAAAAAGCACCTTGCATTTTTGGTTTATTCAAAAAAATGTGTCAGAAGTCAGRCTTAAGTACCTGAGATACTTCAAAGCRAGAATGAAAAGGATGCCAAAGTAATAAGGGAAGTACAAGAGGAGCTGGAAGCATCTTACCATTTCAGGAAAGCACAGTGGAAGCAACAGCTGAATGTCTTCCCCTCATTATCCTCTGAGGAAYTG